AAAAGATCACCCCCATAGGTGAACATGTCCCATGACTGCCTTCTGCTGCCACTTTCAATAGCATTTTCAAAAGCAGACCATCTAACAGCAGCCTACCAGAAGAAGAGCTACCAAGATGATGAAGCTAAACATTTTAGTACTGGTAGATGATATATCAAAGGAGCAACAGACAAAAATCACAGTCTGGGAAGTTCAAAGATGTTAGGAAATCTTCTCAACTGGGAAAGTCACGTAGCGCTGGAACAAGCTACCAAGACAATGTTGAGGTCTCCATCTCAGGTAGTCTTCAAGGCTTGGGTAGGAAAAGCCACAGTCAATCTAGCCAAGGACCAGTGACAGTCCTGCTTTAAGTGGGCAGCTGAACAAGATGAGCATGAGAGGTACCTCCCAAACAACTTTTCTATAAGCAGCTGAATGTTTCTCCAAGTGTTCACCGCGTGGGAGTGCTATGCTATCCCTTCCAGCTCTTCCTTTCATTGAAGCTAGACTCGGGTCAAGCAGCAGAACCCAGAGGTCATACAGGAAGGATTACTTCCTTGGTAGGCTTTCCTCTTCCTCATACTCCTTCTTCTGACCTCAGCAGAGCTATGCAGGTTTGCCTAAAGAAAGAATGTGACCTTTTGACAGCAGAGTTCTCCAGCAATTTGTTCTAGATGGAAGTTATTTCCTCTGATTCCCTCTTGTTTTTTTCCTTGTCTCTTTGCCACAAATGGAAAGATTTGCTATGTCTGGAATGTAAAGTTTTGGTCACCACTCACGAGGATAAAATTCCCATTTCAACAATGTGCACCAAAAGTTAATTTCAGACAAGAGCTGTGCATTTTTGCAAAGAGCTGCCCTTCTTGCAATGGACTATGCATCAACAGAATTTCCCAAATATGTCTTGAGGGTTTCTTTTTTTAAGTAGAAATGGTAAAGAAAGGTTAAGCTTATTAAAAAGTACACTTTGCTTCATGAAAAAGCTAGTATGCCAGGCTGAAGCAATGGTGGTGGCCTAAGTAAATATACTAGAAGTTGCATCGTTCATATGTTAAATTCATATTATAGAGATGCCAAATATTTATGGATAAACATATACATGTGTACATTTATAATTAAAGATAAATATGTTTACATACTTAATATGCATTTACATAAAAACAGAAGAAACATCTGTGGGGATGAAAATATTTTTTGCTGTACCTATTGTTGTTATGGAGGTAAAAGGCATAAACTGCATAGCAATGCAACAGGTCACTTGATTTTTGACTGCCTAACCTGTTCCTTGTACTCTAGTCCACTTACATGGTACTCAGTCTGGGTAGCTTTAGATTACTGATATTTAATAATAATATAAATAAAAATAACCACCTGGCAAGATTTGCTCTGCTCCATTTCTGTATCTCACAACAACGCAAAAACCAAGCAGTACTTAAATGCCCAGTAATCTGCTATGCACAAGCTGCTAATCAGAACTGGAAGGAGTCTTAAGATCTTAACCAGAGCTGAAATCAGAAGTGAATAGAAGAAGGAAATTCTTTGCTATAAAACTCTTTTGCTCCCTAGGACTTCCCGAAATACAACGGAAGTTCTTTAAATGGCTTGTGAGTCTATGTTAATCAAAAGGAATCTGTCACAAACCAGTAGCGCCTTTCATAATGGAAAACACTTCTTCAGGTGATAAGCCTTAAAACCTTAAAACCATAATTTTATTACATACTTACAAAGCTTTGATAGATATTTTGAGCTAACATTTTACTGACCATAAACTATTATTCCCTGCCAGACTGACATAGTTAGCCTGAGGGAGGAAAATGTTTGGCTCTTTAGAAAGTAAGGCACATGAAAAAAAATAGTGGGAAAACACTACTTCTAAAAAGACTCTAAGCATTTTTCTAATAGGTCTTGTGTAAAATATGTTGCAGCTGCTGAGCACATGGTACATCAGAAGCTTGGACTGGTGCTCCTTTGGGATGTCTCGCACAATTTGCTCTTGGATTTTTTTTCCAATACAGATCACTGAGATTTCCCGGAAAAGCAAATTACCTCTGTTAAAAAAGGGAAGGGAGTAGAGTCTATTGTTAAGTTTTCCTTTATTGCTAAAGCAAATAACAGTGGTGTAAATGGTTACACTGGATGGTCAATTCAATTGAATTTAAATCAGCAGAAAACCCAGAGCACTCGCAAAGAGGTTTCGTGAATGCAGTTCAGGATTGTAATGGAGCACAGGAGCTGTTGCTACCACCTTTTCTGTTTTTAAGCTGTAGGCCTTCCTTGCACTTTACTGCTGGCTCCTGAGGACCAGCCTGCTTTCGGGAACCAGTCTGCCCAGATCTACCAGGCTGAGAGGAGGCATGACACGATGTACAAATATCAGACATCTGGTTGGGACACTGATTGAGACCCTCTCTTTCTACTCTGCCCTCAGCTGCCTTAATGTACGAGGTAGGTATTGCTGGGCAGTTGCATGGTGCTCTTTGTTCAGCTCATAGTAATGTCCCTTCCTGAAGGGCAACAGGGAGAAGATGACATAGCAGCTCTGGTGTAGGCAGGAACAGTCTTAGGCCACTCATGGATCACTGTCCCTCTCCCTCTCTGGCAGACTTTGGTCTATGGAAGCCTCTTGTGCTCTTTGAACACAGACTGACGTATTGCTTGAGCAGAAGCACCAAGATCCACATTTTGAGCTCCAGGGTTTTGTCTTCTCTTCCTATGCTGTGCCCTCTTAAAACATTTTTATGAGAACAAAGAAGTACATGGCTTCATCAATACATTGTAAACAGAAAGAATAAACAGGTAGACACAGATATATATATATAGAATCACAGAGTTGCTCAGGTCATGGTGGAATGATCAAGTCCAACTATAGCCTAACCGTACTACCCTAAGTCTAACAACCCTCCACTAAATCATGTCCCTGGGCACCACATCCAAACAGCTTTTAAACACATCCAGAGATGGTGACTCAACCACCTCCCTAGGCAGCCTATTCCAGTGCTTAACAACCAGTCCTGTAAAGAAGTGTTTCCTGATATCCAATCTACACTTACCCTGGTACAGCTTGAGGCCATTTCCCCTCGTCCTGTCACCAGTGAGAAGAGATCAGCCCCACTCTTGCTGTGAGCACCTTTCAGATACTGGAAGAGAGCAATAAGGTTTCCCCTCACCCTCCTTTTCCCCAGATTAAACAGCCGCAGTTCCTTCAGTCGCTGTATCACACATCTTCCAGCCTTTAGTTGTTGGGTTTGTCTTTCTTTCATGCTAACTGCAGAGACAAGGGGCAGCCTGCCTGTGAAAGTCCTTATCACGAACAGCACTGTACTATTTTCAGTACTGTCACTGATTTTTCTGGTAAAGACATATCCTGGGAGTGAGATTGTTGTGACATATAAGTGACTCAGGAAAGAAACAGACAGAGAAACCACCCACCTTCAAAGCAAATGCACCAGAGTCCTAATTGCAATTAAGAAAACAACTCCAGAATGCTGTCATCATTGGATGCTTCCAATTCCATCCTCCTTTTCCAAAACATTGCCTAATCACTAAAATGCACGAGCCATAATGTGGGGAGATGAAGGAATAGGTTAATTGTTAGCCATCAGTGGAGGAACTGGTGATACAGAAAATGTGAGCAAATCCTCAAGGAACAGTAGCTGTGGTGCCCCTGTTCACTGCAGGGAAGTTGGACTAGATGGCCTTCAGAAGTCCCTTCCAACTCTAAGGATCTATAATTCTATAATTTCTAACATGGTACTTAGAAAAAAGATCCTTATCCTTATCCTCTTATGTAGTAAATTTTGAGAAATTATTAGAGTAGCACAAAGTGAAGAAAAAGTGCTCTGCATCTTGTCACAGCCATGAGAATTTGGGTTCAAATACCCTCAATGCTCTTAGGTCATGCTGTGGAAGATACATCCCTTATCAAATACTCCTTTTTCTTTCTTTCACCATGTCAATATAGAGACAGATCACCCTTGATTCTTCATAGGTGGTTTATCTATGCTGGGGACTAGTGAGTCTGGGGGTGTTTTTTAGGAGCAGCACTGGTCTGGAACCAGAGCAGCTTCCTTTGCTGCCCTGTGCATGTGTCCATGGGCAGCTATGATCCTGGTCTCTATTTCTTTTAAATATTTCCTATACCTTTAAACAACTTGACCTCTATCAATTTGGTCTAATTTCAGGCTTTGCTTTTTGGGGTCAATTTCTCCTTTTCTCATTTATCTCATTTACAAATGAGACGTGGGGAGTAGGCAGAGCAACCTTATTTGCAGGAATTGTGCTGCAGCAGTCTGACAGCTGCCCAGCAGATGCACAAGGGAAGCTAAATGGCCATAGCCAGGTGTTGTCAGGGAAGATGCAGGAGTCTGGCAATCATCCATTAGGTCTTCGTTAGGCAGGTGCTGCTCTTGTCAAGCAGAGGAAAATGATATTTAAAAAAAAAAAATGTAAGCAAAAATTTTCAGTCACAAAATATTTTCTAAGTAAAAGTTCCTTTTGCAGATTTTGTAGCTTTTTTTATCCTAGGCATTTAGCTCTTGGACTCTTCCAGCACTAAGTGCTGATAGCTTTGCTCTGGATCAACAAACTGTGAGGGAAAGGTACTTATATATGTGTGGGTTCAAGAAAACAGCCAGCAACATCTCTAGCAGGAAATCTCCACTTGTCCAAGATCATGTGTTACCTGCCCCCATAATGCCACAGGGGAAAACTTCCCAAGGGCATGTCAGAAAAAGCTCCTCTTCGGCCTGAAAAGAAATGCCCAAACATTTACATACATTCTGCAAAAATACTGGCCTCTTTGGAAAGCCTCTGTTTGATATGCCTCAATGTGCAATGTGCTTCTCCTCCCCTCCGTGTGCTAACAACCCAGACAGCCCACCAGCATATAAAATGTTCTCAGATTCCTAGAGGAAAGAGAGACTTCTCAGGCACACCAATGTAGCAACACTTCCATAGAAAACAGCAAGACCAAGTTACAGTGAGCTATCTCCTGTAATTTGGAAACCACAGCTTGACTGTACCTGCTGGAAAGTGTGTGTCCTTCTTCTTGGGAGGAACTACAAACACCAGAATGTGAGTGGTCATCTTCACCAAGCTCCTGATGCTGAAGCAAGATGCCCCAGTAGACATTTTGCTCATTTGCAAAGCAAAGCCTAGTGTTGACTGTGACCCAAACATTATCCCTCGTCACGAGAGTTGAGAGTTTGCTCCAGTAAGGTCAAGAAAAAGAGATGTTGGGAGTATACCCTTTTGCTGAGATTCAGACTGTGCTTCAGACAAGATCCAAACCCACTTTTATAATTTCAGCCTTTTCCTGGTGCAAAGTGAGATTAGTATTTACTCAGTCTGTTTCAAAGTAGCAATCTAGTAATCCCTGTAAGCTACTTCTGAATTAAGTTCTTTCGCATGTTTGACTCCAAAAATCGCACTCTGAACTTTGATCAGATCTAAATTAAGTAGTGTCACGTGCAGCGATCCTGTTCTCATCCAAAGCAGGTATGGAGCTTGCTGGTCTGTCTAATCTCATCTCCGTTTGCAAACATAACACCAGTGCTGTGGTTTGGGTAATCCTCATGTGGTCGGGCACAGTTGCTAGAAGGAAGGACTCGTACTGTGATGGGGAGGTAGCAGTCTTCCCTAACCAAGAAGGAGCATCTTGTGATTCCCCAACACCTCAAGGAGAAGGGGGGGACTAGGATCATACAAGTTCAACACTTTCAGGTGTATCACAGTGTGGGAATCCTTGTTTCATGACACTTGATGAGTCAGCTGTCTTTTGCAAGCTTATCAGTTTAAATCTCTATTTTCCAGTTTCTCAGCAGGGTTTGCTCAATATGAAAACAAACTACACGGGGCATTAACTTGTCTCTCCTGGAGCTGATCCAGCAAAATGTAGAATTGCCAGTGTGTGAGAAAAAATCTTCCCATCAGGAATACTGCTGCCCTGAAAAAAAAAAAAAAAAAATGACTAGAGCAAGTACTGGTCTATTAGATTTTTATAATGAATGGGTGTGAGCTTGGTACCAAACTGCCATCAGCACATTTTTGCACAGATCAAACCCTTCAAGAGAACATTTCAAGATACGCTGAAGTTTAGGCTTTGCTAATTCAAAATTCAAAAGCAAATTTCCCTGGGGTTTCATCAATGGCTTCAACTTTATTGAATGAACCTGGCTGATGGATCTGTTTGCACAAAAATAAAGGAAACATCTCACTTTTTACACAGAATTAGAGAGTTACATCTCTAGGTTCAGGCTCGAGATCAAGTCATGGCTAGTATGAAATCAGTTAACTTGGAATCTTCAGCCAGTGGCACGTGCAAAGTCATCTGACTGAAATCTCTTTCACTGGGAGTTAAGGTAAGTTATCAGAATACCTTATATTTGTCAAAGGCTGAAAGTGCACACATGAACAATATCTTTTTCTGTTTCTGTTTAGTAATACTGTAGTTTGAGATTTTGCAAATCTGTCAGCTGCTTGCAATGACAAAATCACATCTCATAGAAAAGAAGCATTCAGACATTTCACGAATAAAGAGATCCACACGGTCCCATCTCTCCCCAACTCATTGATGTTTCTGCAGTTGTGATGTTGTACTGAATAACAACAATTATTCAAAGTTTTAGTTCTTTGCATGTGAAGTTTTGATGCATTATTGCTGATTGCATTAACCACATAAACACCTTGTGTTAATAATTTCAGATTCTGGGTATGTATTCACAGTGGGTTTTCCCATTTTACCATTAGAGAGCAGCCCATGCAGGAGGGAAGCACATACAGACACTGCTATCAGCTCCCCCATGGCCAGTCAGGGACAATGCTGTGTTCCCAGGTGTTTCACTGACACCAAGGTCTGAGTTCCCTGATGCATCCTTCCTCTCTCTCATACTCTTTCTTTTCCCATCCAGTATCCAACACATGAGGAATGAATGTGCTCTGGGCAGAAAGCCTCTGACAACATGCTGCCTTACTCAGATAGTGGAAAGTGTTGAGGTTTTGACACCTTGCTTTGCAACAGTCTCTCAGCAAGTAGTAAAGCCCCATTGACCCCCAAGACAGACAAGCTACTTGACTCTTACTGTCTTTTTTTGTTTGCAGTTTATTTCTGCTCACCTCTTAATCATTATCTACTTACCATAACACAGGCCAGTGCTTTATTAAATGGGTTGCCTGTTTGCTCACAAGGCATCCCATATCTGAAACTCCAAGTCTCTGCCTAGAGTATAATTCCAGGGCAAAAGCAGAAATCATTTCTCTTTGTTATTGCAAATCCACTGAATAGACACCAATAGCTTTGCCTTTCCCAAAGGAATAAAATGAATTGCATATTTCTTAAGGTAAAAGGCCATTTCAAAGGGCTCATTCCCCTGCTAGCCCTAAGCCAGTAAAACTAAAATGACTCAAGTAAAGTAGTGTAAGATGTGGAATCTTCAGTAAAGGAAAGACATGTTGGAGAGGGTTAAGACAAAGTCCAGCAGAAAATGATTCAAGGGATGGAACAGCTCTCCTATGAGGACAGGCTGGGAGAGCTAGGGTTGTTCAATATGGAGAAGAGAAGGCTCCAGAGAGAGCTGACAGTGGCTTTTCTGCATTTAAAGCGGGACTGTAAGAAGGGGACAGACTATTTAGCTGGGTCTGTTATGATAGAATAGGAGGAAATTATTTCAAACTAAAAGAGGAGAGATTTATACTGGATATAAGGAAGAAGTTTTTTACAGTAACATTGGTGAGGAAGTGGCACAGGTTGCCCAGAGAGCTGGTGGATGCCCCATCCCTGAAGACATTCAAGGTCAGGCTAAACAGGGCTCTGAGCACCTGATGGAGCTGTAGGCATCCCTGTTCATGGCAGGGGAGTTGGAGCTCATGGCTTTTAAGGGTCCCTTGCAGCTGAAACATCTCTCTGATTCTATCATTCTCTTACTTAATGGAGGTCTTTGGGTAACCAGGAGCAGAAAGATTTCAGATGAGGCCATTGTTTCCCCTTCAAGGGAAGACTCAGGCTGAAGGTCCTCCTTCCAGAATGGCAGGAGTTTCCCACAAACCAAGGTTCACTCCCAAAAAATGCACAGCTGGTTTTCAGGTTTCTCTGTGTGTTCTGTATGAGGCCCAAGAGAAGGGTGGTCAGGGGAAGCAAAGCACAGAGCACCTACAGAGAGAGCCACCATCATGACACACCCAGAATCCCATGAATCCCATGAGTTTGCTCTTGCCTTGGAATTCCCCCACCCTTGCTCAGGCTACTTCCATCTTTTTATCTATAAGCATGTTCTCTCAGTTCCTCCCATGCTGGAGGATGAAGGAATTTCCCCACATTTCAATTCATTCGATCCAAGACCACACCGTGTGGTGATCTTTCTATCTAATGAGGACGTGTGCTGAAGGTATATTCAAGTCTAGGGGAAGAGGGATCTTGAGGCAGATAAGGCAGCAATACCATGGATATCACCATGTCCAGCCAGAGTCTCATGCATGGTCTGGAAAAATTCAGACAAGTTATCATGGAAGGGACTGACTCTGTTTCTTCACTGCCTTATTGATTGCACTTACGGACCTTGGGGAAAAAGACCTTCTGCAAAAAAATCCTCACAGACCATCACTTTATTGGAGAATTTTTTTCTGATAAACTTCAGCCAGGATTTCAGCCTCTCTACTAGCACAAGTCTCTATTTCAAAGCTGACAGCTCAGTTGATTTGCCTAGAGCAGTATTATTTCCAGCTCCCTACAGTGTCTGAAGCATCAGCACAGGGATATGGCTTGCTCTTCTGGAGATGAATCTGGAGGCCATGCCAGACACCTGGAGGTGTCTTGGATTGCTCTGTTTACTTAGGTTTCAACAGCTGAATTGGGTCTGTGGCATGTATGCAATGGACACCTTGCCTATGGCATGATGCAGAGTGCCAGCCTCATGCTCAACTATCTACAACCTCAATTCAGTAAAATTAACCAGAGGTGTTCACATGCTTTGGAAAAATGATAAAGTTACTTTTAGGGTGTGCAAGCCACAGTTGCACTAAGGAAGCAGAAAGTGCAGTAGGTTCAAGGGTCCCCATTTAAAGGCAAACCACCAAACCTGAAATCTAAGCATATATGGAGCACAGAAAAATACAGGGACAGGTTGCTGGGCTTGGAGCTGTAGGCTGATGCAGCAACCTCTGCTTTGGTTTCTCTCACTAGTGGGTTTACTTCAAAGACATTGATGCTATTTTAGTAGGTTGCCTTATATTTATTTCTCCTTTTTATCTGTGTGATGAGTTAAAAAATGCCATATGCCTGTTTTTATGTTCCTTGGGCTTCACCCCCACGCACACCCCATGCACACACACACACACACACACACAGCTTCCAGTTGACTAAGGAATGTTAAACATTTATCTGCGGCTCAGCACAGCCACTGATATAGCAAAGCATACATCCAGTGTGGGTGTACCGAGAGATATAGATGCCATATGGAAACTACATCTGACATGTATGGCTTGGGACAAATGGGAAAGAAATCTGTGCCACTCACGCTTACCATGCAAAGAGTGGTTTTTTTTTCTTTCTGAAAATCTCAAGTTGTTTTGACTTTATATGTCTCTGATGCACCAAAATGCAGACACTGGCTTGTCATCAGAACAGAGCCAGAGGGGGAGATGGGGATAAAGCGTGGCATGGAGACAGAATTGGTCGCCCTCAGCCTCCTCCCCTTACCCACATTTGCAAATGGGTTGGACCCAGCCTAAGGAGGCAGCTGTGTTACGCCCACCCACCGACTGGCAGCTCCGAGACGGCATTCCCATGACTGCCAGGAAAGAGCTGGCTGCCATCCTGCCTCCCAGTGCTCCCTCCCTCAGGGGACAACATACACCTCACCTTCTGAAAACTGAATTCCCTGATTCTTTATTCAGCCAAGCGATGGCTGATAGGCAAAGAGAAATCAAGCAGGGCAAGGAGTTTCAGGTGGGTTGAGAAAAAGATAAGTTAGAAAGAGGAATTAATTATACAGATGTTCTGGCGATTAGGGTCACCCGAGTAGGTAGACGAATTTGCACATGGAGGAAGTTTTGCTCCAGTGGCAATAACTTCTCTCTCTGTCCTGTCTCCATTAAGAGCTGGTCTAGACAGTGCATTGCTCCAAGCATTGAGAGGCAGCCGACCTTGGCAGCCCATCTGCTGCTGATGGCAAGTGGGGTTGCACCAGTGCTGATGCAACTTGTTGGGATGTTCAAGACAGGTTCAGCCCCCGGCAGCACTCAGGCTGTCTGTAGGGAGGCTGCTTTCCAGGGGCGGGGAGGAGAAGAGCCAAGATTTATGGAGGAGGCTGGCAGCCGTCCATGGAGAGGTTTGGGAGTGGGAGGCTCCATCACCCATTCTCTATGCAAAGAGACTTGTACTGCTCTCAGTGGAAGGCTGGTTGTACAAAGACCCAAGGGCTGGGCTTGGCAGAGGGAACATGTTGTTCTTCAGTGTGAAATGGATGTGGAGCTGAAAAAGCTGGTGTCAGGAGGAGCTGGGTAGTCATGCTTTTCGGCACATGTGGGAGACATGGGCTGTGGCTCTCCTCTCCAGCCCTGCAAGACCAAAGCTGCAACTGGGGGAATAGTTGATGGATAAATTAATTTGTTTAACCCCTAAAATGCAGCATCTGTCTGGCTGTGGTTGCTCATCACTAGAGTGAATAATGGAAAAATGTCATAGGTTTTTGCTTCCCAAGCATCAAAGCTATTTCCAGTACTGACAAGCTGCCGTGGGGTGCTGGTGGTGGCAATCCACAGATTAACAAGTCTCTCAGCAACCATCACTTTGTCTCCATTCAGTGGAACTTGAAAACTCTCGCAGTCCCAGGGAAGAGATTTTTTCACTTCTGTCAAAATAGGGGTAGAAAAGGAGGAGGAAGAGGCCAGGGGACAGAAGCAGGCCAAGTTACAAACACAGGGAGGGAGAACTAAAAATGTCCTGCAAAA